GTCTGATTTATATAAGTATATATGAATGAACAAGTGCATGATTATGCATGTAGATTTATTCAGCTTCTTTGCTTAATATTCTCCAAAAATAAGCTGTATATTTTCTAAATTATGCAGAACTATAGCACTACAAATTTGCTATTCTTATAAAACCAATTTGGGTTCTGCATCATCAGAATGAAATCTAAAGTAAATTTAACAGCAAATCTATATATAGAAAACAAAACAAATAAAACAACTGATAAAATATAGCAATATGAATACATCTCCTATGACAGATCATGAATATGTATAGCCCTATATAGTATGTATACAAATAGTTACAAAGGTGATGCCAAAATGCCAATACTCTGCCTCGGCAAGTGTGTAAATAGCATTTTTTAGCGGCTAACTGAAGTTTTTTGTTTTTTGTTGTTGTTAGCCAGCAATTGTTAGTGTCATTGTTGTTGCTATTGTTGCTCATGTTGTTGTTGTTGTTTAGCAACAAGTTTTGCATTTTGATTTTGCATTGTTTGGTTCCGGCCATAATCCGGTCAAGCCTGCCACATTGTTGAACAATGACTCAAAAAGCGCTTAATGAACATTTTTAGCTAAAGTTTTTATTTTTCTCACTTTATTATTATTATTTTTGCTGGGTGTGGCTTTTGCCCCGAAAAATAATGCACGACTGTCTGGCATTTATACGCCAAATACAAATATTAAAATATGATGAATATGAATCAGCGCAAACTGTCTTAATAAGGCCAAGCCAGACTCTTGGCCAAAAAAAAAGCATAAATATTGACAGGCAGAGACAAGAATTCGATGAAGAATCAGCTTAAAATCTTGGCCAACAAAATATGTAAGCAATAAAAAACGAAAACGAAAAGCTGAAGAAAACAGCACAGAAAACCTGCTTGGCTTGAAAGAAAAAAAAACCAAGATGCCACAAAAGATGAGGAGAAGAAGAAGAAGACGAGTCGATGCTCCGCCAATGAGACTGAAGCTGCTGCTGCCGCTACGGCTGCTACTGCTACTGCGACTGCGACGACGACTGCGGCTGAGGTTCTTCATCAGCAGCAAAACTCACTCAGCGAGTAGAAATTGAATTGATGTTGTTGTTATTGTTGTTGTTAGCCCAGGCTAAAAACCGGCTTCAGCCTTGCCTCTTCTGTGGCTAACACACGCACAAAGCATAAGGCCAACCAGGCCTGGATACCTGGAGCCAAGCGGAGCTCAACTGAGTCGCGGTGGGGAGAGCTGACGATCATAAAGTTTATAAATAGCATTTCAATATAATGCAGTGAAATCGCTTTTCCACTACTGTTAATGGGAAAGCGAACAGGTCGGGGTCACTCTGCGCGCGTACAGGTAGCTCAGCTAGCTGGCTAGCTGGCTCAGGTCAGGCTACATTAGTCAGCCGATCGAGGGTGGAAAAACACAAACACATACACTGTGTATTTCTGTGGAAAAGGGCGCCGCTGCACGGGGCGATCTACACTTACCTACAGAAACAAGTACAAATCCAATAGACAAGAGCTGGGCTCTGTTCTGCGTGCCTCTGTGTCTGTGTGTGTGCGTGCGTCGCATACGCTTTAAGTAAATTCCAATATGCGCTGGGAGCTGGCGTTGTATCTTACAGATACATTGGCTCAGATACTGGTTTTGATTTCGTGTAGAGCTAGAGCGGCGGTGCGAGCGAGATGGCGAATGCCTGCGTGCTGCGGTGAAAACGCGACAGTGAAAATGTCGCTATTGGTCGTTGCTCCTTTGCCACGGATGAGTAATCCAAAGCGAAAGGGTATCCGTTAGTCGTATTCGATTAATTCTCGTATTTGTATTTTGTATTTCTATTTCGAAATATTTCGATTCTTTTTGCACTCTTCACTCTTTTTTCGGGTTAGTTGGCAACTCGCACAGACGACCCGAACTTTGTTTATCTGTTTATCTAAGTACAGAGCGCGCAGTTTGTACTTGTTAACAGAGTTTACACGGTGCTTGCTTTTGCGCTTGGACAAATGCACGGAACAAAAACAACAACARCAATAATAATAATATCGAAGCCGCGGAAGAAACTACCTGACGCGTACCGCCGCGTCATAAAAACCGAATGCTGCTTCACTTGTTGTTGTTGCTGCCGCTTGTTTGTTTATTTGYATGTGTGTGTGTGTGCGTGTTTGTATTTTTATAAACGCGCTACGTTTCGTTCGTTCGTCTGCGACGCGTCTCACATTCGCTTTAGCCGGGTCTCTCGAGCGCACACGTCCACCTGCGTCGCCGTCTCAAAGTAAACTAAACCCAACTACGTTGAAAACAAGTTTCTGTTAACGCTGTCGCGCTGCCGCAGTCACCGTCGCCGTCGCCGTCACAGTCGCCGCCGCAGTCGCAGCTGCTGCTGCTGCTGGCGTCGCAACATAACATGCCGAAACGAGATAAATGCAAGCAGACACATGCACTGCTGTGCGCCAGGCCAGCACAGGAGCGAACTTGACTGGCTGCGCTGCGCCCAGATGTGTGTGTCATTAGGATTTACAACACATGTTGACTGTATTTCTAGCGAATATTTGTTCGGGGCTGACATATTTATGGCATATTGTATTTATATAAGTGGCTTAATATAGTTGTAGATATAATTGTGGTACTCATTGAATAGGGTACAGCAATAAATGATAAAAAAAATACATATATTAAACTTCATTACAAAATATACTATCAGCATTCATTTATTTGGTTATCTGAATATTAAATATACCACAAATACTACAATAATAGATATAAATAAATTTTGGTAACGTGTTAAAAACATTAAAAACTATTTGTAAACCTATATTTCAGCTTTTCTAAATATCGAAAAATATTAAAAATTAAACTAAACAATTTCTATTTTTGCATTAATAACGATTATATTAATATATGTACAAATGTTATGCAACCTATTATAAATTTTCTAATATTTCCTTTTCTACTCAATTTATAGAAGAAAAAAAATTATATACACTCAGAAATATTAAACTGAATTATCATCAACATCACCCCAAACTCTCAATTCAAAAATTAACCCTCCAGCCGCACCTGAACAAGCTTGCTTAGCAACTTTGTTGCTGGCAACATTTGGCGCTGTTGCTGGCGCTTGTTGTTGCTGGCGCTTGTTGTTGCCGGCTTTTTGGCTGCGTTGGTTTTTGTTTTTGTACATCGTTGGTCGTTGGCACCGTAGTACACAGCCACAGCCACAGCCACACCCGCTCCCACACACCACACCAACACCCTCGCCCTTGCAGTCGTAACTCCCTTTTAAAGAGCATCGCAGGGTAGTTTGTATTTACACACACACATAGAGACACACAAACATGCTCTATAACAGATACACTCCACCACTTCGACGTCCGTTTCGTATTTACATTTTACAATATGTACAATGGCTGGCGCTAAATATTTGATGAAGCTGCCAGGCAGTGCCATAGAGCAGCAGATAAAGCTACAGGCAGACAGWCAGATAGACAGACAGCTAGATAGACTTTTGGCAAAGACTGTGTGTCTGGCTGCTCCTGCAGATGCAGCTTTTCCGCTTTTCATTTGCAAAATGGCCGCGCCGCTCGACTTGGCTATATTTGTTCGTTTCCAATTGTTTAGTTTCTCCTCTTTATGGTTTTATCTTTTATCTCATAACAGTTGCCGGCTCATTTGCACTTGAAAATGCTGTTGGTACACGCGTATTTGCACTCACTGTTGATAATGCCAGCCTGTTTATCTTATCTCGGCAAATGTCGTCGTTTTGTCAGTCCCGACAATGTCAACGCCTCAAAACATAACGCTCAACGCATATGCATGAGATGATGTCGTTGTTGTTGTGTCCGTTGTTGTTGTTGTTGTAGTTGCTGTTGCATATGTCTCTGCATTTCCATTTGCATTTTGAACAATTGTCAATTGTTGTGAAGGCCTGGCTAGCAAAATTTGCATGCGTCGAGTGCATGGCAACATTTGCCACAAGACAAGCTCACTTTGATGCCACGCCCCCCGCGCCTCCCTTACGAACACATGCACAGACAGAGATACATCAACTAAAAACTTACTGTACGTCTGGCATTTGTTTATCTTCTTGTTATATGTAATTTGCATAAAACTTGCTTTGCATCTTCCACCACAAGGCTCGACTTGCAGCCACAGCTGCACTTTGACCCGAGCCACCACCCACCCCTCTGGAGAGCCACTCGAGAGTTCCCAAACTTGTGGACACCGCCCGTCATCATAAAAGACATTAAAAATTTGTGCATCTGCTGCAGCTCTCAGAGTCAGGAAGGGAGAGGCAGAGGGAGAGACTGCTGTTGGCTGCATATTCATGATGGCAGTTGCAACAACTTTACGAAACTGAGCTTCTGGCCAGGGAAATGCTTAAGGTAACTGGCCAAGCGAACTTTAATTAAATGTTAATGGCTCAACTTATTCGCAATTCGACTGGCTCGAATCGGTACTTCCGCTCCGGAAACGCGAGACGTGAAAAGTTGAGCACTTGACTTGGTTCTTAAATATAGTTTCTGTTCGGACCGAGAGCGCCCAAGGTACAGGAAAGACTTAACTAGGCATTGACGTGGTGTAAATGTTTACTTCAGCTATAAGCATGTATTTGAAGGAGTGTGAAAACCAAGAAAAATTTTCTTTTTATACATATAGTGGAGTTACTCAATTCCTTTATGTCTCTAGTTTTTTATGGACTCTGTTTATGTTTATGTTATACAAGTTACGTTAGGTTTTATGGGAGCAGGCTGGATCTGCATGACTCATTCAAGGCCGTTCGAAACTATTTTACGTATACCTCGGATATTCGATATATATATATTCAATACTCGATATATATTTTAGATATATATTTATCGTTGATCTTTATAACGTGCTGAGTTCGTCTAGTTATGTTGATATAACTATCGCTTTGTTCCGTTGAAACTACATTAGAAAATTCCCAAACTTTAGCTACTCTCATGTTTTCTGTCACATTTCATTTAGTAAAACAAAAAGAAAATTAATTCTCTTATTTCCACTCATGAATTGAATACAGAAAGAGAAAATTTTAACCATTTTATGCAATGGACGATAAGACAAACAAAAAATATGTTTTGATGGTTTGTGTGGGTTCGTTTGTGAGCAAAGAAATTTAATATAAAACAAATTAAATAATTTTGTTATCAATAAATCTTCGCTTAGATAATACATGTCGCTCACCCATTGCGGAGGCGGTGCTGCGTGACATGATCGTTAAGCAGGATCTCCAGGCGGAATGGGATGTGGAAAGCGCTGCGATCGAGGCGTGGCACGTGGGCGCCCACCCAGACGAACGAGCGCTGAACGTGCTCCATAAGCACAAAATTAAGTACACCAATTTCGTGCGACGCATTAAGCGGGAGGATTTTGAAAACTTCGATTACATTGTGGGCATGGATCAGAGCATTATGGCCTCTCTAAAGCTGCTGGAGCCGCACTATGCCAAGGCTAAGCTGCTGATGCTGGGTGACTTTTTGATAGGCTTGAAGCCCGACGAGCGCTTTATTGAGGATCCATATTACGTAAGTTGAAGCATTCACTAACACTCTATTGTCACTGCATACTTATACTTTGCAGGAAATGGGCGAAGGTCCCTTTGATAAGATTTACGAACAGTGCACTCTCGCGTGCGCGAATTTTTTAAATCAAGCGCGAAACGATGAAATCTAACACAGAATTCAACAGTGTGGCACCATCGCAGGGCTAACAACAGCTGTTACGATAACAGCTGACTGACAAATCGTGCGCCAGTGTTGGCAAATGACACACACATTTAATAAAATATTTTGTCGCATAAATTTGTTTTTAAAATGCCCCAGAAGAAAATATTAATGATTTGTTTGGGTAAAAAATTATAACAAAAATAAAAATAATAAAAAAGAAATAGCGCATGACTCCCTAATATTTATTCAACTTAATACAGGCAACATTTGCCGCTCGCCGATAGCCGAAACTGTTATGGCCGAGACCTTGGCCAAGGCTAAATTGGACTCGGTGGTTGTGGACAGCGCCGCCACCGGCTCATGGCATGTGGGCAACCGGGCCGATCCGCGCGCCCTGAGCACGCTGCAGAAACACGGCCTGGAGAGCAAACACATTGTGCGCCAGATCACAAAGCAGGACTTCAATGAGTTCGACTACATCTTCGGCATGGATGAGGACAACATGAGAGACCTGCGGCGTCTGGCGCCGAAAGACTGCAAGGCGGAGCTGCTTATGCTGGGCGACTTTGGACTCAGCAAAGAGAAGCGCATCATTGAAGATCCCTACTATGTGAGTAGTACTTCCTACAAATTGAAATTGGAGCTAATTTCAGCTACTTGCAGCAACGCGGCGATGAGGGCTTCGAGGTGGCTTATCAACAGTGCGTTACGGCGTGTGAGGCGTTCGTTAAGCAGCGGTTGCTGCAGTGATTCTCGTTCCAATATGTTTCATGTAGTTGACTTATAAAATGATTAAATTGCAATTGTTAAATATGCGATGACCGGTTTGTTTATATCTAAATACATACATAGATGTGTACATATGCAGGTGCAGGCATGCAAGTGTGTGTGCATTATTATTACGCAGTGGTGAAATAGAATCGAGAATTGAGTATTCCGTTAGTCTCAGAGCTGTTCAGTGTAAATTGTTTGGCTTCTAAATTTTGCTTTTCGTTTGAAATTTGTTGTTTTAGCTAAATTTTAAACGATGAAAGTTTTATTCGTCTGCTTGGGTAAGTAGTGAACCTTTCTATCGAGTGCTTTAGTGTTTGTATATAAGACTCGCCTCAACAGGTAACACTTGTCGCTCACCTATGGCGGAGGCTGTCCTAAAAGATTTGATCAACAAAAAGCAGCTGCTGAATTGGCACACGGACAGCGCCGGATTACGGGATTGGAATGTGGGCATGCAGGCGCAGGGGCGTGCACAAACATTGCTGCATCAACATGGCCTAAAGACGGACCATATTACTCGCGCAGTAAGAAACATACTTAATATTAAATACATATAATTATGCTAATGGCATTTCTTGCAGATAACCGTAGAGGATTTTTATAATTTTGATATTATTTTCGGCATGGATGATAACAACATGACGGAACTGAGACTGATTGCCGAGCAACTGGAGCCGCCGGCGAAGTGCCAAATAAAACTCCTGGGCAGCTATCTGAATCCCGAGCAAGATCAGATTATTAGAGATCCATATTTTGTAATTTCTATAATTTTGGTTTTATATAACTCACTAAATCACTTTTCATTTGCAGACCAAAGGTATGGCGAGCTTTGATACGGCGTACATGCAAATCAAGGAGAGCTGTGAGCGCTTCGTAGAGCTACATAGGGATGCGGCTTAAATGCTTATTACTACTACTACTATTACTATTATTTAACACTATTTACTAAATTGCATAAGTTTGAATTGAATTATGATTTGTATCTCCGCCCGCTGTTATCTGCGCCAAGAGCTATGTAATTTAACTGTCTAATTGTTTAAAATTAATTTTTTGTTTAATTAGTTGTCGTTTTTTGTTATACCCTGAACCCATTTTCAATGGGAAATCAGGGTATAATGGTTTTTTTGAAATGTAACAGGCAGAAGGAGGCGTGGCAGACCCCATAAAGTATACACATATATACTTGATCAAGGCTGAGTCGATTTAGGCCTGTCCGTATGTCAGAATATATGTATAATAGCTAAATGTTTGAATTTTTAGATTCATTCACGAAGTAAAAGAGTATATTGGTTTTGTGCAATGTCCGTCGTGCTGTCCGTCCGTCTGTCCGTATGAACGCAATCTATTTCGGCGCTATTGAAGCTAGAGACTTAAAATTTGGAACACATACTCGTGTATATCTTCGATTTATAAAGTGCTAAAATTTTCCCGATCCGTCCACTAGGGGCGTGGCAAATCAGAAAATGCATTTTCCGATATACCAGAACGTAATTGACCCCTCGTCAAGGTCATTACCCCTCCTCAAGGTCATTGAGCCCTCCTCAAGGTCATTGAGCCCTCCTCACGGTCGTTGACCCCTGCTGATGGTCATTGACCCCTCCACAAGGTCGTTGACCCCTGCACAAGGTCATTGACCCCTCCTCAAGGTCATTGGCCCCTCCTCAAGGTCATTGACCCCTCCTCAAGGTCATTGACCCCTCCTCAAGGTCATTGACCCCTCCTCAAGGTCATTGAGTATTCCTCAAGGTCATTGACCTCTCCTCAAGGTCATTGACCTCTCCTCAAGGTCATTGACCTCTCCTCAAGGTCATTGACCTCTCCTCAAGGTCGTTGGCCTCTCCTCAAGGTCATTGACCTTTCCTCGAGGTCATTGACCTTTCCTTAAGGTCATTGACCTTTCCTCAAGGTCATTGACCTTTCCTCAAGGTCATTGACCCCTCCTCAAGGTCATTGACCTCTTCTCAAGGTCATTGACCCCCAAGGTCATTGACCCCTTCTCAAAGTCATCCTCAAGGCCTCTACCCCTCTCTCTACCCACTACCCATCTTACTAGTCGAGCAGCCTCGACTAGAGCCTTCTAACTTGATTTTGTATAACTAATTATATTTCAATTCATATGACTACTCTCTAAAGCAAACAACTGCATCTCTTCCCATAGTATTCGCCCAACTCAATGACAGTTGCAGGAATGAGCAACAAATAATATCTATATTTTGTTTACTTAATTCAACCTATATTGTAAATAGGAATTCATCAAAATTAATAATAGTGCTTTAGTTAAATCAGAATGATTATCTCTGGCTAGGCCTATTAAAAGCTTAACTGTTTTGCACTCAATCTGCAATTTCTAAACTGAAATTAAGTGTGCTATGATAGCACCTCTACTTGGATTTGTAAAAGAAAATAACTTTGCAATAGTTTGTTTGGAATTGATTCCTATATTTATTACGTTCTCTAAAAGACCTTGCCCTGCAGCACTTTGTCCATGAAAAGCGACCAGCTGTAGTCGAGCACCTGATATGCCCTTTGCCGTTCCCGATCCGTGAGCATCGAGTAGCGCACGGAGTTGTAAACGAGAGTCTTCAGGACTCGGAGTCCGGCATTGTTGGGCGCCATGCTCATGATGGCATAGTAGAAATCGTAGCTCAAGCCCTTGGCATTCCAGAAGCCCGGATCATCGTTGCAAATGACCACGGGCACATCTAGGGCCAAGTACTGGGCGCCCGGATGATTGCGCATATCCCAGACCAAGTGCAGCACCTGGTTCGATATGGGACTCAACTCCACGGCTATGTTGCGCGTCTTCACGGCATTCATCAGTATGGGATGCTTGACTAGGGCGAAGGCGTGGCCCATTCGTGTCGTGTTCAGCAGCAGCGCATCCAGCAGATTAATATCCGTTGACGCACTAAACCAATCTGCCAGAAATAGATAGAATTAAGATTTGAGTCATCATATGGAGCAGACAAATGAAACTAACTCGTCTCGCCGGCGTGAAGGAACAAATTTGTGTTGGGCGGCAGCTCCTTCAGGACAGCCAGCTGCTCATAGAGCGGCTTGCCCTTATCCTCCTGCCCCACCAGATCAAAGCCAATCACAAACTTCGGAAAGGCTTCCCTGAAATCGAAGAGTGAGGGTTGCTTAACTTGGCCGAAAGTCTTCAAGCTACTCATGCTTACTGCAATTTCCGGAATTCCTTGATTTTTTCCCTCAGAGTCGCCGCATCGGCGCCTCGCCACGTGGCGTAGATGACCTTGATGCCAATGAAATTGGGATGCAAGCGCACAAATTTGTCATTCAACGCCTGCAGCTCGCGCAATGCCTGCTCCTGGGGAAAGGTGCGTCCGCTGGCATCGTAGATCTGCGGATGACACGGAAGATGAGCAGAGCTGCCAGCAGCGCTCAACTGGAATGCTCACCTCTTTTAGGCTAATGCGTAGCTCAGCATACATCACGTTGTCATTGTAGAGCTCCTCGAGCAGTTGCCAGTGGTAGGCACGAAATGCGGGGAGGTAATAAATGGCCTCCGTCAAGGTGTCAAACATGGCCTGGAACTTGTTCCAAACGGCTGTTATTGTTGGATACTCCACTGGGATAGGAAATGCAGGATGATAAACAAAACTGAACCGAATTGAATTGAGAATTATTGAACTACTCACGCTCCGGCACGGGCGTATATAGATTAATAAGTTTTTCCAAGTTCTCGTCGTACAGCACCGGATCGATTGAGCTCCTTCGCTCATCCGCCACGTACACGTACTGGGATGTGCACTTATGCAGCTTGGGGGCGCGTCGGAAGGTCAGCCGGCTGCGCCCCTCTGCATTGGTGCAGCGCAGCATGCCCGGCATGTAGGACATATTCCGCACCACCCACTTGGAGCTGACCGCGGCGGTGTTGTGCAAATGGAGCACAGCGCCCTTGGGCATCTGCTGCAGAAACTTGAAGACGGAGCTGCGATCGATCAGCGGCTTGGCCTTGAAGAAATGCATCCCAGCCACATTCTGATCGGCATTCCTGAAGCCCTGGGCCAGTTCCCCCAGCTTGTACTGCATGAAGAGATCGTCCACTTGGCTCTCCTTGGCGCTCAGGCTGGTACGTCCGCCCGTCATGAGCTGCTCCTCGGCGCTGAGCACAGCCTGGCGTGCCTTCTCATAGCCTGCAAGTTGAGCATTATTGAAGAGCATCTAATGGTCACCAAGACTCACTTAAAGTCGTCTCCACAGCTGCCTGCAGGGGATTGGCCAGCAGTCCTAGCAGCAGCAGCAGCAACAATGCGCACTTCATTTCTTTGAACTCTGATTTGTGTTGGCCAAAATTGTATTGAGCCGCCTACACAAATATTGATTGGGGCTTTATTGACACGTTGAGACTTATTGTATGCCCCTCGACAGCTAATTAAATGCGAGCTGATTTCAGTGGACTCTCCGTGCTCAGGTGTTTGCGCCCGCTTGCTAGCTGCGCTCGCCAAGAACTGTGCGAAACGTCGTCGTCGCTTTACCAGCCTCAGGGCTGAAAATTATAGAATAGTTTGTCGAAAATTACGCCTGGGCGTACAACCATTATTCACAATTAATAATGTTTTTCTTCAAATTTTTGTTAGTTTTTTTTTTATTTTGTTTTTCTAAATTTGTTCTAGTAGTGAGTATTTCGCGAGTTTTTTGACTGGAGGACTCGCTGTGCATATTAAGTGAATCAAAACACTAAAAACAGACGCGCGCCCAAAGCTTTTTAATTCGTATACCCTGTCATGAGCATGGAACTGGGGTATATTGACAATATCTGTAAATGGTATATCTATTTACAAACTGTGATTTATATATAACACAAACAATTATCAAATCACAGTACAGATCGTTGACTTATGACTAACTAAGCAATTAGTATCTCATAACACATTTTAATGAGCTCAGTTGAATGAACGAATTATTGTATAAGTATACAAAAAAAAAAAAATAAATTTTGCTGCAATAAATAACGAGTTAACTAAAAAAAAGTCTTATTTTTTTAAATATGAGTTAACATTTAATTGTTCAGGTTTTATCCAGAGAGGAATTTTAGAGTCTCTGTATGATTAAACATTGACAGAGAAAATATATTGTTTCTATACAATAATCCCAGTCATATTTCATATATAATATTCATTTAGAGAAAAAACTTTAGATGTTATAAATACCTCCTTAAGCTAAAGCTACCGTGCAATTATCTTATAAGA